TGTTCAGATAAAAGGTTTTGGTTCTTTTCCTCTAAGGTGGTGAGACAATGTTAGTATTAGAACTCGCAAAGTATAGCGGGGTGGTGATACATGTTGTTCTTTTATGCACCTATTAATATAATCTGGTCGGTTGTCTAAACAGAGGGTGTTAACCCACTCTGCCAAGGTATTCAACTCCCCAAATGAATAATTTGAGAACTTCAACTCCTACCTCTTGACTTCTGAAATTGCACCTACCCTAGATGTATGAGAATAATGCTGTGTATACTCAACATACTGGGGTGGGGGTTTTTTTTGATTCTGGAAATATCAAGGACTCACCCCTAGCAGGTTGCGGGGAACATAGCCTTCCTTGTCATTCAGCCGTGCCCACCACCACTCAATTTCATCTTCATCTTCCCGGCGCAGGATTGTCATGCAGTCTCCCTCTTTCATCGAGAGCTCATCGTCATTCTGAGCCTCATAATCCCAGAGTCCATAAATCACTCCTTTGTTCATTATTCCCATTTTCTCCTGGACTCCTGCAACATTAAAAACACAGAGCAGCTCAATACAAGAGTTAAAATAAAACAACAACAACAAAAAGACAACAGTTGGAAAGACTGCTGTACTCTTACTGGATAGCAGTCCAGGGGGGCAAAAAAAAAAAAAACCCAAAAAAACCCAAACCAAGAACAGAAACAAAACAAACAAACAAAAAAACCCACCCACACACAAAAACCCCCAACCAAACCAAACCCAACCTTGATTCCTATCACACTTAGCACCTTGTTGTCATCAGCCTACTGAGTATCAGCCCTGGAACAGGTGGCGTTGTCTGCTGTGTGCAAGGGCTAACTGCAGATTCTTTCCTTACACGTGTTCAAAAAAATACAAGGTAAATGGGGAGAGGAGCGCTAACTGATAAGAGGTTATGTGTTCACGCTAGTGTTCACACTTCCTACACCTAACTGCTGAGCAAGAAACACTTGTTTGTACTCTTAGTTCATGAGTAATCTCTTTCTGTCAAAGGGAGTTAGCAATACCTGCTTATGGTGACCACTATTGTAATTTTGCTGCTTGAGATACCATTTGCCACCCATGCCACTTTATTTCAGAACATTAAAACAAGTTGCATCTCAGACCTATACCTGAAAGATTTGTCTGCTATCCACCAGCTGCTTTCAGTTAACTCAAACACTTATCTTGGCAGTTCTTAATTTCTGCCACTATTTGAATTTTTTTATTTTTTTTTAAACACTGACTTCAGAAACACAATTCTGTTAAATTACTTCTGGACCAAGCTGTATTGGAGTACATGCATACACCTTGCAGATGTTATTTAGTACTTGCTCGCTTTACAGCTGTAGCCAAAGATGAAATACTATTATTTCTGTACACATACCTCAGCTTCTAAGCAGCAAACTGGAAAAGGTATCTTAATCAACTGTTACACAAAATTTCTCTTAGGTAATTATTCTAGTTTAAAATACTGAATCCTACTGGGTTTTTTGGTTGGCTTTGGTATTGCCAGGAGCAAAGAGTACATTACATACTGTACCATGAGACTCGTAACTTCCCTTTTCATCTCTTACCTATTACAATCTATTGTATAGGATTCTTACCTACGTCTGCACAAGGAAGCATCTGCTCAAATCAAGTTCTTTATTTCTGCATACCAGCTCATCACATAAAATTAAGTTGCTTCCACTGCATGCTTAGTTCTGCTCAGAGAAATTCTTCCCTTGCTTTGGCATTTGGTATAATTAAAGGTTTGGCAAAAGCTGCGCCCTACACACATGTGGAAGGTAAGACCAAGCACTGAACATCAAAGCAGACACAGAGAAGATTCACACAACAGTCTTAGCAATAGGATTACTTCCTAATGGAAGAATACGGAAATTTGATAGCTGAACAGCAATGTATCAAGAGATACCTTAGTTTCAGTGGTTTCAATTTGGAAAAGCTGGCAATAAGCCAAAGCCTTACAGTCCCTTCAGGACCCATTGCAAAGTATCTCATAACACACACAAAAAAAATACCAAACTCAACAAAAAACAGAGTATCAAGTGAGATTGCCAGATGGTGGGTCCAAAAAAAAAAAAAAAAAAAGGGCCAAAAAAAAAAAAAAAAAAAAGAAACACAACACAAAAAAAACCCCCACCACAGAAAAAAGAACACGTTTTGTCATGCTGTATATAATTAAACCATGGATCTCCTTCCCACAGGATCTTGTGGGCTGTTTACCTGAATTTAAGAATTAGACAAGTTCCTGAAAGAAATTTCTCAAGACCTATTCAACACAAAGATACCATCTCTTAACTCATACCAGAGTTAAAACCAGTAAGAAATATTGGACAGGTATTATTATTTTTAATTGAGCCCTACAATCTTCCTTGGGCTTTTGTTGTTGATGATCACCATTGGAGTCTGTATACAAAACTAAATGGAATTTTGCTTAGCCCATAGACTTTGACACTAGTAAAATAAGCTTCCTCACTTTCTAGGGAAAATTACATATTTGGCACCAAGAGATACAGTTTTCAAGCTTAGTGGGGACAGCTGGACAGACTGCTTTGAAATATGCTGGCGGAGCAGCTTACAGAAACTCAGATCTTGCATATTCCACAAAAACAGAAAGGCTGTATTACAGCTTTTTACGCTGCATTACATTGCTATTACTCTAACCCCTTACAGATAGATGACACTCTAGCTGGTAGGTGCCTAGGGGACAAGAACTACATACAAAACATATAGAAAAGTAATTTAAAACCTCATTGACTAGTACTCATCACACCCTAGGGGGGAATTAATTCTCTCTGTTAAGAGGAAGTTTCCCTGTAGTCTTACTATTTGAATAAAATTTAAATTTCATACAGGATTTGTTTTTAAAGGCAAGAGAAGAAAAAGGCCAGAAGGATAAGATCAAATTCAATACTTACTAACCTCCATTAAGGCAGAAACTTGGCAATACCTTTCTTGGTTCTAAAGTGCACATTAGGAAATATTCCTCATTTAAGACACCAGGTAGCAGATAGGAACTGCCTAATGAGATATCCATACCACTTCTGGTTTTATGTAAAAAAAAAGTTTGCTTATGTGGTAAGATTCACCTAATCATCACCTCACACTAATGTATTTGTCTATGCACATGCTTAATTAATTCCAAGGTTTTTAATGTAGGGAAACCTTTTGTTTTTCAGATCTTCTCTATAGGCATGGGCACACAACCTAAGCGTGCAACTTAACACTCCTCATCCAAAACCATACTAAAAAGTGCGAGGTGAGTCCCTAGCATGCTCCAGAACTCATTTGTCACCACTTACCATATAAGAACTGGGAGCACTGTGTGTAGCCTTCCTCCATTTCCTCACACTTGTCCGCAGCTGTCTGCATGTCACTGTAGGTCATCGCAAATACAGCTGCACCTGACTCCACCAGGAACTTGCACACCTGCACATTATTGCAAGATGCTGCACAGTGTAATGGGGTCCTGCAAGCCAAGAAGAAAAAGATGGCACATTACTTCTATTGCTCATAGCAGTGCTTACAGACTCCTGGGGGCAAACCACTTCCGTGCGTGACCTCCAGCAATCAGTACTGCATTGCTGAAGGCTTCCAACCAGAAGCACTTAACCCAGGATGTCAGAAGCAATTGCTTTTCACAGATAACAGGAGTAAGCGAGAGCTGCTTGAGCCCTAAAGCAGGATTTCCATATGGTCTCTAGCTATGCTACCTTTTCATAATCCATTAACATTTTAAGAATATTCAATAAGGCAATAAAAATAATAAAAAAAAAATCAACAATAAAAATCCACTCAGAAATCCTTCTGACACCATGACTCTTATAATCTAGACAATTACTTCAAGACCTGACTTGGTGACAGGTGCAGGAAATTGGGATAACTACTGAGGCTGAGGGACAAGCAGCATCTTTATTCAGTCTTGGACCTTGGACACTTTTGTTATAGGCAGAAATAACAGTAAAATCACCATTCCCCATAGCCTTTTGTAAATAAACTCCCTAGCTACCTGCAAGAAGGATTTGTAACCCATTATCAGTTGCAACCCTAGTTTGTAGGTTGTGGTTTTCTGCTTTGTTTTGTTTTTATGTTGTCTGAGGACTGGACAAAGAACTTAGAGCTTGCAGGGCTAAATACTGCATGTGTATGCTATAGGCTGTATCACACAGAGAGGACATGGGGAATTTCAGCAAATGGCTCATTATGCATAAGCTTTCTTCAATGCCTCAAAGAAACAGAGCGATTTCCTGACAACTGTATCCACCCTACTGGGCCTCAGACACATGCTTTTTCCATATAGGGAACGTTAATATAATTTGCCTATTTTCTCCTCTGTGCATTCTCATATGATGCCCCACAGAGAACCACTGTTGCTCTGCTGTGGAAAAGTCATTGCCAGCTCTATAGGAGCAAACTGAGGGACCTTGTGAGGGACCTGTGGCAGCCCCCCAAGCTGCAGCTCTCTTGTGGAGAGCACCTGTAAGGTGCCACTTAAAGAAAGCCTTACCATCCATCACTATCTGCAGCATTCACATTCACACCAAATTGTACCAGGAACTTCACGATTTCCGTATGTCCAGCACAGACAGCGTTGTGCAGTGCAGTAATCCCTTCATCATTGGGCATGCTAGGATCTTCAACCTATTCAGCCAGAAAAGGAACCATTCACATTCTGGTGAGAATCTCTACAATAAACATCTTTTCACATAGAAAAGTGAGTTGTCTTATTCAAAATATGATTTTGAGTCACATTTTTATGAATGACACAAGCAACAGGCAGAAAACTACAGCAGTAACCAATCTCACAAGATGACTCACATGTAAGCTTGCAACCTCCTTTTATAGTGAGAACCTGAAGTGATTCAGAGAAATAGTATCTTGATAACTTAGTAAAAGCATTTATAACAAATTTATTACATTTGCCTATTTAACTGTTAAGAAAAATGCACACGGGTTTTGCTTATCAAATTATCTGATTACACGGCAGATAGGGGATGAAACGCTACATAAGAAACGAGGAAAAAGTTGTCCTACAGATTTACAGTCTTGATGCCAAATACCCCGTGTGGATGTAACACTGTTAAAATCGGCCTCCAAGTGGCCATGTGCTGTTAGGACTTATCTCCTCAAGGGCAGATCTAGGTCATGCACTATTATTTTAGCTTCCCCAGTCCAGAAAAGCTGCAACTTCCCCGTTTGAACCAGGATTGCTATTCCTTCTCTTCCAAGTTAGCATTTGTACCTCATAAATTATTCTCTGCACGAGGTCAAACTCCCCCTCCAAAGATGAATCCAGAAGCAACGCAAGGGGATTGAATTTCACTCTCATTCCATGCCCAATTCTCTCAGAGCCAGTTTTACGCAAGTTCGTCCTCTTCCCCTGTGAAAAGGTAACACAAGTTACAGGCATTTTTTCCTGAGAAGAACAAGAATACAGAATTGCTTATTTGGGAATGACAGCAGAAATGACCAATTAAGGCAGTGTTTAATATGAAATTCAGACTATTTTCTACCAATTCCCCAACACATTACAAATATAGTAGGTTGGGCATGTTATGAAAGATCTCTGCCTTCATCTCCAGACAAGGTCACTATTCTACTCAAATACAGAAGTCACCTTGATCAAACACATCATCAAAATCATAAAACTCCCAAATCCCTAAATATCAGGGGGGAAAAAAAAAATATGCAGATTTTTTTATATGCAGACCATTTCAGCATGAAGTCTCAAAGGTGTTACACAAACCAAGAACCTTAAAAGACTCCATGAAGTATTCTACTTTTTAAGCACTGATGTTAAGTTCCTAACATCATCTTAAGCTTAGCAAAGTTTAAGAGGAACAGAAATAGTTAAGAAAAATGGGTTTGGAAAGAATATAGAACCGAGCGTAGAAAATGCTTTAGATATTCACAGTGATACTGGAAACCAAGTAGTTCTATAGCTGAGTTTGTACTCTTTCCTTTAGAGAATATGCATACATTAGCTCAGCGCTCTCCCCAGCTGGCTGTGCAGCAGCAATAAACACTATTCATAAGGGTATGTAAATTTCTGACAGATGTCCAGGCAAAGATGAATAGAAATGACTCATGGTTTGCAAGAGCAAACATGTGAAGATAAGAAGAGATTCCCAGAAAATACTCTTTTGCCTGTTGATTTACACATAATATCAAAAAGTACAGGCTTTTTAAAGAAGAGCCTGTCAGCACAACCCAAGCATTTAAATATGAAATCAAGAAGTTGGGCCAGTTTCTTCTCATCATTGCAGAATTATTACAAAACCAACCAGAAACAAGTTCTTACAATTTAGGAAATCCTACCACTCAAGTTGCCTTGTAAAAAGGAGCAAGGACAACATCTTAAAAGCCTGAAAACATGCCATGACTATTCCATGAAGAAATTAAGAGGCTAAAAAAGCACATTTAAAGCTTTTAACTCCTCTGCACTGAAGTGATGGAGGAAAAAAAAAAAAAAAACCACTTTCATGTATCAAGTTATTAAAATTCTATTCATGATAGTTTTTAAAAGAAACTCTTTGAGGAACTGAAAACAGTAAGCACTTCTGTTCTACAACAGTGAGATAACACTGTATCACACACACAGACAGAAACTTCCAAAACAAACAAGATGGTAAAAATGCTCCCTACCCTTAGCCCAATCAGACTCCATTTTGATGCTACGTCAGGACGGATTTATGTTAAATCAGGTTCCAAAGAAAATTCAGAAAACATTTCAGTAGAGGAAGTGCAAGCAGTTCATGTGTACAAATGAGTTTTTAAAGTAGAAACTAAGTCTGTTTCTCCAGGTTTTTCAAGTAAGGATTTTTTGGATAAGCAAGTCCAGTCCAGGATTAAGATTATTAGTTTCCATCTCATATCAACAACAGTGGGAAATGCTTGCAAAATTTGTGTCTGTGCCTCAAAAAAAAAAAAAAACCAAAACCAAACCCAAACTAACTTTAATTTCTCTTAAGGAAGTATAGTTTGGATGTAGTAGGCAGACTTCTATAAGGAATGTTCTTTACAGCCCAGAAGAGTTTTACCATTTGTGTATCAATTTCATTTGAAACTTTTCATCACGTCATTAATTCTAGAGACAGAGACTTTTCGTTACTGTCATCACACTGGAGATAAGAGCATCACACAAATAGAACAGATACCCACAGAGAGACTTCTAGCCTATTTGTGTGACTTGTTCTCCCACATCTGCTTAAGCTCTACGATAAAATGCACAGGATTTATGCCAGAGCTTGAGATGACTTATTGACAGGGCACTGAAGTTGTAGGCTAACTAATACTTACAGGAGGCAAGGAAAACTGTCCAGTAACTTCAGGAGGCCTCATATTGAATGAGTCCTCTCCCAGACTCTCTGGTTCCCCTGATGGATAGGGAGGTGGTGGGTATGGAGGATATTCTTCCATGTATACCTCCAGTGGCAGTGAAGCTTCTAGGCTTGGTTCTTCCATTTTCGGCTGCGTGAGTTCATCGCCATCTGAAATTGCCTCAGGTACAGTGTCCAAAGCTACAGAGGGAAGAACAGCTTCGCTCTGATCTGCTGGTGTGTTCTCTGCTTCCTCAGCAATAGTTGGTTCTGGCATGGAAGAAGCTGTTTCTTTTTCTGATTCTGCACTTAGATAAGGATTTGGGATTTCTGTTGGGCTTTCAGGACTGGCAGCTGACGCCGTCTGTTTGGAGGGATGTGACGGAGCTGAGATAGTCTCCATTGCAGCCAAAGTGGTCCTCTGATACAACAGCTTCTGAATATTGGGGCCATTAGGTCCTTCTGGCTCAGTAATGGAGCTACGTTTCTTCAGTGGCCTGGGTGCATTAGACAACTTTTTCCGTAGTGCTTCCAAATCAGCATCACTCTGGTTGCGGTACGGATTAGACAAGAAAGGCAGCAATTTGGTTGGGCTAAGGGGACGAGGTATTCGCTCCGTTTCATGATTCTCATGAGCAGAGGCTGTTGTTTCCATCTCAGGCTCTGGACTGCCTGGCTTGCCTTGGAGGTTTGAGTAGACGTTCTCTGCCTGTGGCAGCTGCTCCTGCACACCAGCTCCTGCCATCACAGGCTTGCCATACACTGCAGAACAATTCAGAGAAGGGCATGGAAAAAAACAAGGGTGAATATTCGACCAAACCTAAGAAGTACACAAAACCCAATTCACCTACCTAGGGCAAAGAAGCAGAATAATGTGATCAACCAAACAGAATTAACCTCGTAACCAGGTTTACTATGATTATTTATCTTGCAAATGCAAGACAGATATTCTGCACTTTTTGTTAACGCTAATATACAATATGCCAGATCCACTTAAGTCTTACAGCTGCACTAGCCTGCTTAATTCCCCCGAGGAACAGCTTTGTAACCACAGACCAGGTGGAAAGTACATCTATCTGAGGTTTATGAAGACAGAAGATAGGCTTACCGCTTGGGAAGTGCGGTCCTCTGGTCTGTGCCCTTGTCAAAGCACTCTGCACTGCCTGCTGGAAGTTCTTCCCAGGAGTCTGATGTTGCGTGTACATGCTATAAATTGAACTTGCAGCCACAGTTTGAGGCTTTCGAAACGGTGGGAGTGGGGTCTCTTTGGACGGCTGAGGGGTAAAAGGTCTCACGGCTGCTGCTGGGGGACTCTCCTGTTTGGAGGAGGGAAGAATTTGGTCCTGGCTAGAAGAAGGACCTGCAGGAGGTATGGAAATTCTTTGCTGTATCTGCTGAGAAGGATGGGAAGGCTGCTGTGCCACTGTTTTTTGTTTGTTCCCCATAGTTACAATAGCCAAAGGCAGCTTCTGCATGTTTCCATCCAGCTTAGTATCAGAAGGCTGCAGATGACTGGCTTGTCCAAAATAAGGCAAGTTTATCTGTTTTGGTTTAGTGGGGACAGGTGGTGGTACCTTCGTTACATTTTTATTGGCTATCTGAAAGACAAAAAAAAAGTTCATCAAGATTAAACAGCAAACCCCATTTTAGGAGGACTGCTGTGAAGGACCAGAGAACGACACAGTATCTAGCGTTTCTACTGTTGCTGCAATACTGTTTACAATTTCATTACAAAGATGAAGAGACTTCTTGAAACATTTTATCATCACAGTTGTTTATACTTTGAACCGAACCCATTCTCTTTAATCCCTTCTGTAGCAGCTATGTTTAAAACATCAAGCAATGGCAGGACACACTAATTTCTCTAGGGACAGCAGAGGCACTTGGTAGCATCTGTAGGCAAGCAGCTTGCTTTCCAATGGAGTACTTGTCATCCATCCCCAGTTTTTCTATGTTACTTCACCCCATCTGATCAAATTGTGCCCTTGTGCCAAGATTTAGGTGGGAAGTCCTGCTGCAATCAAATATCTGAAGGACACTGCTGCATTAAACAGTTAAACAAGTGTGTAAAATATTTTTAAAAACTTATGCAAATGCCTCTGTGCATATAGTCTTTGGGGAAAAAGCCATACACATACACACTAGTACAAGTAACAGACATTTTTATGTATTCAGCCAAAATGTAGATTTTAATCACAGTGACTATAGAGAACGATTTTGAGTTACCAGCTGCAATTAGCAGCCTAAAAGACTTTTTTCCTTAGAAGTAGCCTTTTAAAAGAAGACCTAGGTGCTTTTCAAAGAGCTTCCTGGCAGCAATATTTGAAAAGCTGTGTAGTAATCCCTGTTAGATGGAATGTAGTAGTTCGAGTTTCCTGCATACCTGCGCTTCTCTCAGAAGATCTTCACTACTCTGGTTCTTTCTCAGTGTGCCTAGTCCAGCAGACTGGTCCACAGAATCAAACATTGAGAATGGACGAACTTTCTTCTCTTTGTCTCGTAAAAAAGTTTCTCCTTCAGCTGTTAGAGAGAGAAGACGACTTTTTAAAGGCACAACACAATTGTAGGAGTAAGAGTCCTGTTCTGTGCAATACAGCACACACAAGGGATGCTTTTTGCATCTATCCTACCCCTGTGCTAAGGACCCAAGGGCCTGCCAAATGCTGTATCTTGCAAATTGAAGAGAAGCATGTATGAAGACATTAGTATCTACTTCACCAACTGAAACTAGGTTATTTAAAAAAAAAATCCCTGCAACACCATACTCAAGTTTATATGGCAGTAATATTTCTTTTTTTTGTGCTCTCAAATGAATTCTACATATTTACTGAAGCATTAAAAGAGACAGATATCATTAATGAGATTTTGCATAGTTTAAGATTATCCAAGCACATAAGAACATACCTTGCCCTTCACTAGTCACAATTCCTTTTCCTGAAGTGAAGGCTGATGCTTGACTAATGTGATTGTCTGCATTTGAACTACTCCAGTCAGTGGCAGACGGGGAAGGTTTTGCAACAGGGACCACAGAATCTAGGAGACAACAAGTGGAACAGATTAAGCTAAAGTAATGTTTTTATTGACTTATTTATTACAGATAGGTTTTTTTGTAAGAGTCAGATCTAGACAGCGTGCAATTATCATATGCAGGTTAACTGCTATAAATCCTACCACTTTAGATATTTGCTCGTTTGTTTTAAAAAGAGAATGCAAACCCAAGCTAAGAAACAACTATCCAAGCAGCAGCAAAACTATTTGTCCTAGCACATCTGCACTTACAGCATTCAGACAAGAAACTTCTCCAGATTGCCTTCTTCCCAGTTAGTAAGAAACTTTCCTTGGATATTTACAGTTAAGTTAAAAGTGACAGGATGGTAAGAAGGGATGAGAAAGATACATTGTGCAAAGGAAAATGTTCTTTAAAGCACAATTAGATCCTCTGCCAGTGAAGTCCAAAACAGTGGAAAAATCATCTGCATGTTCAATGTGCATACAGGCACTGCGTTAAAGCTGATCTTCACATTCACTAGAGTAGTTATTTTTGAAGCAGACTGGATGTCTAAGAAAACGCTTGCAACTTGCTATTAGTTTAAATATTTCACCAAATTATCTCTACTAAATTCTAAATTATCTAGTACTATAAGTGATATCAGATTCAAATAGTACCAATGAGCAGCAGGAGAAAAGCTTCATTCTGACAAAGTATTGAATTTGAATACTAGGAAAGCAGTCATTTTGCCCAAATGCTAAAAAATAAGGAGTGATGTTTTAGTTCAAATAGCACACACCACACATTCCTATAGCAAAAATTCAGATTTTGTATGAACTAGAGCTAAAATTCCACACCAGCAGGTTTAGGATCTGCAAACCAGATAAAATGAAACAGTTCCCCGTTCTCCAGTACGGCAAGAGACACCTGGACTGGTTTTGTGTCGTGGCTGCTTTAATAATATCTGCCAGAACTGGAGATGGAGGGAGGGAGATAAAAAATAAACAGAATTCTTCTACAACCTCAGCCTCCATTTTTTCCTTTTGGGAATATCAGAGTTTCTCTTATCTCCCAGCTGAAAAGCGAGTCTTCTCCTTTCAAGATAGCACAGAAGAGGTATTTGCAACTCCCCAATTCCTCCAGACATCAGCTCTCATGAAGCTGCACTGTATCTCATCGGAGAAAGCCACAGGGAGAAGCCAGGCAAACCTCCATTAAGACTGCAGGCAAGAGAGGCCAAGCCTCCTGTCAGGTGTTGGAATTATGTCTCTCCATATTCCTACACCATCAACATGTCAGCAAGTTTACTGCTATTTCTCTGCTACAATCAATTGCCTCCTTTATAAGATTTCTTGCAACGTTGGTTAGTCCTTTACCTGTGTCACTTCTAAAATGCACAATCAGAAAACTTGGCTTTGCTAGTTTTTACGCCCAGGCACCAGGTTGTTACCATGTGTGTCCTAAAACTGCCTCTAGAAACTCAAACGCACACTGCTGTATAGTTTTTAGGAGTCTTAAAATAAATAAATAATTCACTAGTTTACAGAAAAATCCTCCTACATTCTATGCTGTGTAACAACTCAAATTGCTCACTGAGAGGATTACTTAATTTATAACACATTAAATTGTATAAACCTCAGTGCTTATGAAATACATTTACTGGGGCAGGAAAACGTCAGTCTTACTACTTTCAACCTCAAATGTAATACTTTGCTTTAAAAAAAAAAAAAGACAAACCTGGTAGATAAGAAAACAAAACATTTCTGGAGAAGAAATATTAATTATAAGCTATTACCTGCAGGAGCTTTAGCTTGTGAACTGCTCCCAGCTCTCATGTTGGGCAGAGTCTGCGTTTTTAGTGGACCATCAGGTACCTGCAAAGCTTGTGTCCCATCTGAAAATGCCGGCTTCACCAAAAGTTCAGGTCTGGAAGCAATACGTGGCATAGTAGAGGACTGGATATAAGGACCTACTGCTGCCACTCGACTTGGAGCAGAAGCCACTGGCTGGGGTAAATTCCCATCTGAAGAAACCTTTGGGAAAAGGAAAAAAAAAAAAAAAGAAGAAAATTTAAAGAATGTTATGCTGCAGTATCCATCCATCAGAGTTTGAAATAGAAGTGAGAAAGTATAAAACAAGTAGAAAATGATACTCCAATATTAAAAATGCTTTTTAAAAAAAGCTGCATGAGATATAAACATGAGCTGGTGAGAGACCAAAAAAAAAAGTTATCAAAAAAAAAATTCCACGACAGCACAAGAAGAGTTCTTGTCCATAAAGAATAAGTAGGTTAACACCAATGTACCGTGAAAAGTACTTTAATAATAAAAGACTTCCATCACATATGGATAGAAACAAGTTTAGCATCTGAACAGCCTTCCCCACAAACAAAGTTTTTACTTTGGACTATGGGCCACGAATTAAATTAATTTTTTTGTTATTTAATAGCCCACACTTACTGGTACATTCTCTTTCTGTTGCAGAGCTGCCTTTTTCTTCCACAGGCGCTCTCGCAGCTCATTAACACGCTTATCCATGACTGCCACCTCCGAGTTGCGCTTGTTCAAACACTCCCTCTGTTGCTGCAGCTTGGCATTCTGCTCCTGGTTCAGTTTGTTCCTCAACTGAATAAATTCACAAAGCCCGGGGGGAGGAGGGGAAGAAAAAAAAAAAAAAACCAACAAAAAAACCACAAAACAAAAATCAAAACAAATTAACTTTCAGGATGGGGGACAGGAAACAGTTACAAAGAGAAAAGCCTTCTAAAAAGTCAAGTCGTGCTGGCAAACTCAGATTATTTTCTCCGGAGAAAGTGTTGGTTAGTCTCCAAATTTTGCAGAAGGGAAAGGTATTTACACTGCATGCTCCTTCTCCTGCTTACCTTGAAACCAGTACAACTAACCCTCCATCCTCAGCACACAGGCACCACGCAGCTCTACCAAGAGCAAGAGGAATAGGATTTCTTTCGGAAGAGGTAAGAAATGACCCAATCAACTTTTAGCCCTTTGAGCTGTGGGTCGTGAGCTGGCCTTCCATTACCTGCAGCTCCTTGTACAGACGGTCAAGCTCAGCTACAGCGGACTGGTTGTCGTGGTAACCATCAATTCGGCCGTTCTTCAGCATCTCCAGTTGCCTGGTGAGTTCCTCTACCTTTGACACTGCCAGCACCAGCTCGCGCTGCTTTTGCTGGAACAGGCTGTTCATCTGTTCAATCTCCTCCACTGGAAAGGACAAGAGAGCACAATAGCTGCCCTGAGAAACAGATGAGCGTGGGCTGCTTCCAAGGCAGCGGTTAAGGGGACAGAGAGCGCCCTGCTGGCCTCTGGAGCAGCGCTGCACAGAGGCTACAGCCGGCTGCCACAAGCTCAGGGTCCCTGTCAAACCCTCGAAGCATTTGTAAAAGCAAACACACTAGCAAGATCATGTAGATTCGTTCTACTTAGAGCACTAATGGAGAGGGAAAAAGAACAGTTTTTACTGTCTTAAGTATGGAAACAAACATTACCAGGCTGAATTTCATCTGTAGAAGCCTACATTCACTTAATGCAGAATTCTGCAGGAAGACACTCACTCAACCACAAGACATAATTATGATATTTAAAACTCTGAATTTAGGTTGTATGAACTCAATGACAAAACAACTTGAGCTATTAAGTTAAACAGAGACTCAGAAGGCTTTTTAGGGTCTACTACAAATAGCTGTCATCAGCTGCTCCCACAGCCAAAACTGCTGCATTATAGAAAACAGTTTAAGGAATCAGTAAGAGTTCAATCAAGTACCAAGATCAGACCTGCTGAGGAGGGTGCAGGGAAACAGACACACATATTCCAAGATCTTCTATTACTCTACCATCCTTCCTTTCCTTTAACCTGATGTTTATTTTGTGCAACAGAACCCAAACAGAAAATGAGTTCTCCCCATAGAAAAACACTTCTGCTTTATTTGTAATGCACAATGCTTCCTAATAAAACAATGTGTTTATGTTTTACCTTTATAAACCAGTATATTTTCATTTGAGTCCATCTGGAAATTAAAAGTTCTATACAATATGTACAGAGGAAGGATGAAAATAAGCAGAAAAGTGTGTGTTGATATAAAGCCTGAAATAAATATTTGATGTTGCATCAACATGCTAAACTGCAAGCACCCAACCAGTACTGTAGCAAGACACTAGTCAGATTTCCGTAATTAAAAAGAAAATACTCAGCCACTTTGGCCATTAAGTTACCTCTTGCATAAGAGGCAACATGGGTAAGCTTTGTTACAGGCCAAGAAAATAATACTCTAAACGTGTGGGGCATTAACATCAAAGATGTAAAAAGTTACTGTGGTACACAAAGGTATTCAAGTGAGGAAAAAACATACACTGTCATTAAAGAGCAGATATGCTAGGCTCAAAACACAGGGTGCCCTTACAAGGTATTTTTAAACACAGTAAAAAAATATATTTTGTTCTAGGTCACTCAGGAGTTTTCTTGGTAGATACGAGACGCAAAATTGTTAAGATTAACATTTCCTGGAACACTGTAAATACCTCCTCTGAATGACTGAAATCACCAGAAAATTTTAGAGTTCCAAGAAACACACTTCATCAAAAAATCGCAGGCTACTTTCCCAAGCAGCAGCTCACCTAATTTCCCATTGCTGAGTCTTTTTTGCTCCACATGGCCTTTCAGCGCTCTCACTTTCTTAAGTTTGGCTTCCTGATTCTCAGCAATTTCCTTTAATCGCTTCAGTTTTTCCTGTTCAGCAGCTTGCTGTTGCTGTCGCTGATCTTGCTGTTTCAGGAATTTCAGGCGCTGTTCCTGCAGGAAAGACAAGGAATTTTTTTTTTTAAGTGAACTTATGGCAAGGTGCTGACAGAAACAGTCTCAAAACTTAAAAACAACCACCACAGCCACTGAGATCAACTTTAAGCCAGTATCCTGACTTCCCAGAGTGTCAAGGGAAGTCTGTGAGAACAGAGCAAACACGTACCAGTTCTGTCCCAATACAGTCCTCCAGATACAATCATTCTGTGGTACAAGAACCTACTGAAACAGAGGTGGTATCCATGTCTAACAGCCCTTGGTACATTTTTTTTCCATGAAATTGCTCAAAACTCTTGAAGCCTAAGAAAAATATTAGCATTCGTGTTCCATGACATTTGCCAGTTTCATTTAATCACTACTTGTCTCTTGAGTTGCAAGAGCTAATGATTATTTCCTCTCTACCTTCTCCATGCTGCTTGTACTTTACAGGTCTCTATCATCCATCATTTTAAACAACAAGTCATGCTGGAGAATATTAGACTTTTTTTTTTTTATACAGAAGGTATTCCATAAATTATTGAACATTTTCATCACTCTCTGTACTTTTACTAGTTCTGCTAGAACATCCTTGAGATGGGGGACCACTGCACACCAAAGCTCTGAAAATTTACCATTTCCTGGTAATGATCACTGCCATCACAACACAGGATTCAAGACACAGGAAAACCTTCACAGTGACCTCATTTATAAAATAGACATCTCGGTGGAGAGAGGATCCTTTTGCCTTTCCAAGAGCAAAATGGTGCACTATCAGTTTCCATATACAGATGTATATAGTCTAGAGCTAAAAGAAACAACCAGATCACCTACAGAGACTTTCTTTAAATCACTGGTCATTACACATGGCTTCCAGTTCTGGAGATGAGAGGTTGTTCCAGTGGTAGAACTACTAAGACTTTCCCAAGCACCCACTAACAGCCAAGACTACCACTGCCTACTAACATTAGAACTCAACACTTTCTGAAAAAACAACAAAAAAACCCACCCCCAAACCAGTCATATTTAGAAACCGGGACTCTTGTGCACTTTGAATAAAAAAGGAAAAGCAAAAAGTGAGCTTGCCTTCCGGAGAAAACCAGGCAGCACCTACAGTGTATGCACTAGTTTAGAGTCAATCCCACGCAAGAAAATGTCAAAAAATAGATATTACAGCTCATGTCTAAAAAGAATGTGCATTTTCCCCCCTCAGAATCTATTTTTAATATTGCATCTGATTTCAGAAGGCAGGAAAGAGACAACGGAAAGCCTCTCTTTGAAAGGGGATCTCAGAAAGTAGGTTTGTTCCAGAGAGGAATGTTAAATGAAGAATTCTCTCTGTGGGCAGTAGACACCTACCTGATGGGTAGCTATCCAGACTCAAACTCATAATTTTTTTTTTTTTTAATCTTGCATGACTCCCTTTCCAGTAAATATATATAATATTCCTATTTCTGGTTTCATATATATAGTGACTACAGTGTTATTTTTAAGACCAAGGTCTATAACCATCACCTGTGAGCGGAACAGACAAAAGTTACAAAAGTTTATGCTTCTCTTTTACATTTAACACATCTCATCTAGAGCAGAGGGCAACATTCTGCCTTCGCAAATTAATCAAGGCAGAATAGGTATTAACTGTGCTGCTAAGCTTCAAGTGAAAACTCTGATCACTTGGTTGATTGACTGATTTCTTACATTTATAGTTGCACCTTCTTCCTACCAGTTCTTACCATAAAACAGAAATAAAGTTTTACTGACTGTTTTGACAGGCCATAGTACCTCTTTGCAGGTGCTGCAGAACCATTAGAAAGCCACAGTTTGAAGCACTTTCCTGAGATAAGATTATTGACAGCCAAGGGAACCAAACAAGATGCTAAACATATGGGGATGGAGGGGAAACCCAACTGATCTCAAAAGGAGAGGGAGACAGGGCTCCTGACAAAGAAAGAGTAGCAAGACAAGAGCTCCAGAGCAGCCTTCTTCCCCTGTAGGGCACATTCTGAAAGACATAGGAACTCATCCACCCAGGCAGCTGAATGCTGCTCTTCGGGATGGGCTTGCATTTAACAATTCTCTGCCAAAAGTACCATTTTCTGTGGTATTGTAAAGAGCAGTGTATACCAACAACACTTAAGTCAAATATGAAATCCATGCCACCATTCTGCAGATGCATTCAAGTATTTTTTTTTCCCCTAAATGATTCAGGAGCGCCCTGGGTGCTTTCATTAGCTTTTCTGTCATCATTCAGCAGGCATTTTATAAATCACTCTCCTAGTTACTTTTATCACATACATGCCATCTTTTCCAGACAGCTGCCCCAGGAAACCAGGCACATTGAACTCTATCAGGAGAAAGCAAGATATCATTGCAGGACAGCATTATGTCTAGAGACAAAAGCGTTGTTCAGTGATCAAACCAGTGAATGGCTGGTCACCACACAGAGCACAAATAGGGCTGGCAGAGCCACCAGGATGAATGACAATGTATTAATGTTGTATGCTTTATCCTTTCAGTAAGCTATATGGTCAATTCTATCACTGGCATTATTTTAATGTTTTACTACTGGATATTTGCACAGGTTGACTTTCAAAATTAAAAAAGAGTGAGTCAAAGAAAGAGACCCTCTGTTTATAAGAGATGGAAAAAAAAACAACAAAACACCCACCAAAAAACAATCCCATACCACCCACAAAACCCACACCCGAATCCCCAACCCTCCCTCCTCCTCACGTGATTCTTTGTTCCTGGCTGTAAGCAATCTCATTCCAAACTCACCTTGTTAGCCAGCATTTGCTGTTGAGCCTCAATTTGTTGCTGCTGGCGTGATGCCATTTCCTGAAGTTCAGCCAGTGTCATATCCATCCTTGGAGCACTGACCTGTCAAAGAAAATCCAAAGCATGCTAAGTCTAGAATTTTTAATGTGGCTGCTGTGCAATTCAGTAGAGCTACTGCAGAAAAGTATGCTAAAGGTCTTTAAAAAATAGTAACAACCTAGTATCCAATAAAATAATTGGACAGAAATGGTATATTCCCACAGTAAAAGAATAAATAGCTGCTAGGTCATACACACCCGTAGCCCAATCCAGCAACGCACATAAGCTGGCATCTCTTGAAATATTAATATTTCTACCAAAATCCCAGCAGCATTTTAAAAAGGCAATTTCAGAGCCCTTTACAATCAAGCTCAGCATGAATCAGCTTTGACAGAGCCCAGGATGCTCAGCACATGGCAGGATGGATCTGTGGTCGTAGGTGTATCATTGCAATTTAAAGCACTTCAACAAAAGTTAAAGAAAATGAAAAGTTTAAATATAGTGTGTGTGGGGGGGAAACCCACCACCACGCTCAAAGGTAGCACTATTGTTTCATTAGTTATCTGTTCACAGATTTCCTGAATCTAGAGTCAATCTTCTATCCATAATTATATCTTCTGGAGCAAGAATAAATGAGGGACAATGGATTCAATGCTGAAACACTAACTGGTCTCAACTTGAAATCTGGAACTAAGGGATCTCTGACACAAAACTGAATATGAAAATAATTTATGAACTGAAGGAAAACAACTTTTTGATGGGAGTAGAAAAGGAAAGTATGCTGAATTTGTATGGGTGATCTCAAAGCAGCAAACACAGATATGGCAGCTTATGGATCCCAGAGATACCTTATGAACTGAAATCAAGGGTGATAATTGTTAGAGGCTGTGTTTTAGAGCAGTCATGAGAAATATCCCAAATTTCACTATACTGGCCATCGCATCAAGCACTTACTCCATTCTCTATTCTTCGATCACCAGGCACTTTCACACCATTCCGCTTTAAGGCTGGATCTTGAGACCTTTGTCCAGTCCCTAGACAGAAATAAAGGACAGTCAAAGATGGTGAGGTATTTTAGGATTTTTCTTATCCCTTTAGACATAGCATTCAATACAAAAGGAGAAACAGAACAATCATTTTGGTTTAGCATCTGACCATCTGTCCTTCCCACGCTCTTACCACCAGGAGAAACTTAACTGATGACACAAGGTATTTTACAAAGAGGCTGCTGTTCAATGTCAACATTTATTTTAAGATAGAAGACCATTTAAAAGCAGACAAGCAAAAAAACTTTAACAAACAGTAGGCTATTTCAGTATTTCTCACTCGGTCAACAGGCCCCTAGTAAGTCTGCATTACAGATGAATAGTTACAAAAACATGTTCCGCTCCGCAAATGACACAAGAACATCTGGTTAAATCACAGAGAAGCATTTGGACCACAATGTCTTAAAACAAGCATCGAGATGTTCTGGTGTGCCTTTGTCAACTGTCTCACAGAGAATATGAGTAACAATAGTTAGAGGTTGGTCACGTATCGTGAAAGACCATTTAACCTACCACTGATTATCTGCACATAAAGTTTAAAAGCACAAAATTTTTTCTTCCTGGTAGTCACTGTGACAGTAAAGATACTACTTAACTAGAATCCTACTTTCTGTTTCCATCAAATTATGTACAAGTGGTGTTCAGATGTAAAATACCAAGCTCACTCATTTCCCTGTAGGGTATACATATACTACAGGATGAAGCCATCTCTGTTAGCTTCTTGCCCACTTGATACCTATTTCAAGAGCATATTCCTGCAAGACTAACTGTGGAGCTCCTATTCATTTCTCTTCCTCAAATGCAGTATTTCCAATACCAAGGAAGATTACCAAGGATAACAGGAAAAAAGGAGTAAGAAGAATCCAGTAGACTGATTTAAAAGTACAAGTTTTAAGGATTCTACTGAAGAGATTAATATGGGATGCACAGAGAAACCTTGAAAACCAAAGTAATTCTCTTTATAGGTTTCACATTTAGATTTACAATGCATAGATACATTCTCAGAGAATTTGACTAGGCAGTTCATTTAATTCTATTCCTGAAACTAATACAAATGTGTAGATTGTGGGAGAAACATCAAAGAACTCTTTTTGCCAAGTATGCTACGTTTACCAGCCTGGTAAAGTTTTATCCATGTGAAACATCCTAAGCCTAAATAATAAATTACATTACTGGACAACAGTTTGGTTACTAGACTTAAAAGAAGAGACTATCATAGATCTCTAGATATTTAGCTGTGGCTAACATATTTAACACAGAATCTCCTTGGATGCTGTGGTGATGACCAGCTCTAAAAAAACCTGCAAAAGTTTCAATTTGGATTTAATTGTCCCCACATCTGGCAAGGGAGGATGAATTCTTTACTAAAATAAAGAAGTTTTCTGTTACTAGCATTCTCTATTCATAAGAAAATAACAGTCAGACTAAAAAGGGCTGCACCACGAGACTGGCTACCAACGTTAATAAATAACATACACAAGCATTTTTCTTAACCTTGAGGAATTAAACGAAACTTCGACAAATGAACCAGATGAGATCAATACCTACCTGCTTCCCGGCAGGGAGAGCGTTCATGCCGAAGAAAGAAACGAACCTCGCTTCTCTGCATCCCAAAGCGCTGCAAAACATCCAGCATGCGTTCATTATCGGCTATAGGACGTTCTGAAAAGGTAAAAAGCCAGTTGACTATTATATCCCTACGTAGCTTGAGCACATATCAAAACAAAACAAAGATATCTGACCATCATCTTTCACTTGAACCCCTCTTATTACTCAGGTGCAGTGCATGCACCTAACCCTTGCCCTCACCCAAGGCATTTCTACCTTTCCCTTAGGAAGGTGCTGTACCACTCCCTGCTCCTGAAATTAAACCAACACCTCTGAAAAGCAGATACAGCCCTTTAAAAGCCCACTCCTGAAGGGAGAAGCTGAGGCACTGTCACAACCCAAGGGAAGCAAACAGGCAATTTAGAGCTTTCTGCTCTAGTGCCTTAGTTTTGTATTTGCAAATCACCTTACCCACTCACCACTGCAGGAAACGTGCTGGTGTACCTTTTGCTCCGCTTATGGGGTACCTCAGACAAACTTATTTCTCAGTCATTCCCACCCCCTCCTCAAGGGCTCCTCTGCCCCAGTTCCTACAGGGACTCATTTACTTCCTATCCCAATGAGAATTAAGAGAGATGCAAAGACAAACTCTCAAAGAGGAATTCTTCTCGTAACGCTTCCTAAGGATTGCGATCAAATACTGGAATTGCAGCCATCGCATTCAAGCTCAGGCAGAAGCACTCAATACCCTGAAAAGGCTCCTAGGCAGTACCCATCAGGCCTGATCCTCAGCAAACCACCGCAGCTCCTGTCGCTTCAAGTGTTCTCCTATAGCTCCTGACAGCCACGGGTCTGGCTCATTCTATCAGACAGCAAATTTTATGAGGTTCAGATTACATGCATTTTGTAAGCCTCGCTTCTCATAAACCTGGAAAAGGTGAACTATTAGGGATTCACAGCTCAAAGGAAAAAAAAAAAGGAAAAAAAAAAAGGATAAAAAGGATCAGAAAGTGAAAAATTACTCCAGTAAGAACTTGCCATTTTCTTTCAGACAGTTAAGATGAAGTTTCTTTAGAAGTTACAGGCACAAGTTCCACTGAATTTCTTTTCCTGCTCTTGTTCCCAGGTTTAGGATTCAGTCACATCTCTAATTTTTAAGCCTTACTTGTTGCCTTTTGATACTACAAAAATCCAGTGGGAATCTACATCCATTGCCTTCATTTACCAGTACTCCTCCTTTTCTGTATTGTTGTTCTTCCAAAATTTACACACTTCATAGCTGGGCGTTCACAGACAAGATATAATTAGATTTACTTACTGGTCTCTAGACCTTTACATAATAGCAATTTCTGATGTTTTTCTAGACATTTTATCATACACTTTTATGCCTATTTTAAAACTGATGGCAACTATGTGGTCAATATATCATAGCAGTCAACTTTACATAGTCAGGATACTGTCACAGTATCTTATGACAACATCCAAGACTCATGATCAGGTTGGATTCATTTGCGCTTGGTGCCAGACAAACAGATGATATTGTTCCTGGCCTGAGAAATAAGACAAGCAGACAAAGACTGAAATTAAATACCACCACTTTTGCACCAGTTTCATTTTTCCTGACATCGCTTTTGTTGGATGTTTCCTTTCATTATTTAAGCAAGGGGAGGAAAAAAAAGAAAGAAATCACAGAGTAGTTCATTCATATTCAATGGAGACTTTCAAAGTCACTATCTTAATATGGAATAATCATTTCAGCGGAAAAGTTGTTGGTGTTAAGTATAAACGTTTTCAGTTTCATAAGAAGAGGAGCTACTAGCATGCTCTCAGCATGTGAAAAGCTCTTTTCAACATAAAAGTGTTTCTTTAAATGAAAATGCTGCAGCTGTGCTCAAGCAATCTAGGAAGGAAAATTTCTGGAGTCACTGTCAAAAGAGATTAGCTTTACAGAATAAGCAAGTAGGTCACTGTTACAGAAAAAGCAGTCTCTTGGCGGTTACTTGTCTAGACAGCTAAAAAAGCTCTTCATCTGCTAAACCTTAATTCCAGGAGGGGGAAAAAAAAAAAAAAAAAGGCAAAACCAAAAAACCAACAGTACCGCTGTCAGATTTCCATCTTAAAGAATATACAGGAGGCTTATGAGACAGATTTCTAGCAGCTCAGTGATACTTCAACTGAAACTCTATAATCAAGGGAGATGCCCTTTACACAAGGATTCTGTCAATACTACTCAGTGACTTCAAAGGAAGGTCAAAGAGATTTTCAAATGCCAAACAAAACTACATTTGGGAAGCTCAAGAAGAAAGGACAAACAAACATACTTCATTTTTTTTATTCCCTATCTGTCTCAGAAAGAAAACAACAACAAAATCTTTATATGTGCACACACCTTTTGCCTGCTTTCCACAGTGGCCAAGGTAGTTGCCTAATAGAATTCTGGCACTAATGGGAAGATCAAGAAACTTTGCCCTGATACTCATCAAATTTCAAGCAAAACCAGGAGGGCAGGGAGAGTAGGAAAACTTGCCCCCTTCAGGGAGCAGAGTGCCTCAAGCGCACTTGCAGCAATCTTTCAAAGTGTGTCTAACAAGGTCTGACAACAGAAGCTAAAATTCCCAAGCAAGCCTCAGAAAAAGAGAGACAAGTGATCTAAGAAGGATCTCAGTAACTGGAATCTGAGAAGTTATTTTCCAACATAAATCTTTTGTTGCTACCCCAGAAAGTTAGCTGCCATGCATTCACCATGTTTGTTTTAAAATAAACTTTAATTTGTTCAGTGTAAAATGTAAACAAAATAGAAGCCATGGCATATCTTGGCAAAACAAGATAGTGAACTTTGCCGACATCTAAAATGAGATTAGGTAAAAGCTAAAAGTATTTCTGCCCCCGCTCCCCGCCCAAATCCAAGATACACATGAAAACATTTTGCAAATCATTGCTACTCGGTGTTAGACAGATGCTCAAGAAAGGATATATTTCATCCAAAACAACATGAATGTACTTCATCTCATCGGTACTCAAGTCTCTTCATGTTACATGATTAGAGACTACTGCATTTTTTGTTACTGATTACAATTTGAAACCATAGACAGTTCTATACACACACACAGTGTTCATATATAGAAGTAAATAATCAGTAATTATGACAGGATCAGTGAAGGGAACAAGAATAATTTGGTTTCTGGAAAAATTGTCAAGTTGTTTGCTGTATAAATGGATGATATGGTTTTTGCTCTTATGACAATAATTGTGCAAGTAACATCTAATTATCCATTCTCATGGTATCTCTAAGTCTTTGCTCTTCAGCAGGGCTCCAACTTTGGTAAACAACAGGAAAACCCTGTCCCTCCCCAACACAACCTGTGGTCTTTAACAGGTCATGGAGCTAAGACTAACTAAATTCAGTTGTTTTACCCCTAAACCTTTATTTCACCTGTCTTTCACTGTAGACTTCGGTATTGTGTTGATTTAGACAGAGTTGGACACAGATGTACAATAAAAACACTTTCCTAAAAGATCTCTCCCCATGCTGGATTGGTGATTTTATTATACTATCATATATGCAGAAAAGATGCTCTCTTTTCTAAGGAGAAGTAAAAAAATTTCTGCTGCATTTTTTAAACTTCGAAATAATAGAAATATTACATCTCTGTCAGAAGGGGCTAAAAAAAAAAAAAGAAAAAGAAAGAGACAACTCAGGTATCTCCTGCTATTAAACAAAAATCCAGCTCAACAAAGACTTCTCTGAACAGGTGTGAGCCTGAGCCAACAACAGAGGAAGACAGGAGCATAAGTCCTTATCAGCCAATTCTTTTACAATTTTGTTGAAGCATCTCAAAAAAGTTAGATTATTTTTCATGATTTAAAATCTTGCCTGTGATTCATCTTTTTTTACCCTTCTGGAAGGCTACCAAGCATCTAATGAGTACCATGGAGACAGGAGATAGCTGAGAGTCCCTTCCCATTGAAGCCATGAGAAGGTAGCCATACTTTGGCTTTTGATTTGCTTGTTGACATGTTCTCCAGTTCCAATGGAGCACTGCAAGCGAGGGAGATTTGAACTTCCAAGACAGAAGTCAGCAAGAACACAGAAAAGTAAAAAAAAAAAAAAAAAAAAAAGGCCACAATCAACCACATACATAAAACCCTCTTCCATGGGCTTAAAAGACAGGACGGGGACAGTCCAAGGTAGTTTCTATCTCCTCTCTCCCGCCAACCACACACCTTCTTTAGAGCACTTCATATCAGCTTAGTTCCCTCCCAGAAGTAGGAGTTGTGTTACCAAACTCAGTTAATATTATCAGAAGCAACAGAGGCATCATCAGCCAAAGGTAGTTTTCCTTTGCCACTGCAGTCAAAAATGGCTATGGGGTGGAAGAGAAGATTCCGTCTAAGTCACAGAACTAATAATACTTCAAAAAAGCCCCACAGGCCACTGGGATCCCACTGCAGGGAGAAGAAGGAAGAGAAAACAACTCCCCCACAACCTTCAGAGGCTCGTTTGAGTCAGAGAAGGGCTGCACACACATAACGTCTGCATGCTTGATTCTCCTTCTTTTGCTTTCAACCCATTTTTGCACATGTGTACCTTTCTATAGATGCATTATCATGCAGCAGGTCTGACGGAGAGATTAACGAAATGGTAAGGCAGAAACCCTCTGGGACAGGACCACATCTGTCAGTTTTCTGTGCGCTACCTTGTTAGAAGCAGTGAACACCCAATAACTCAGCGAGTGCAACCTACCTGAGCCACACCACACTTCAGCCAGGTGGCACTCACTCTCACCAGGCTCCTTGCACAGCTCCACCACATCTCTGCAGGTTGTTTCAGGGGTGACTGGCACCTCAGTAAAATGCTGCTCATTGTTACTGAGGTACACTGTCAGAAACATCTGGAAAAGACAAAAGCAACAGCACACGGTTACTTTATAGCACAAAGCTAGACTGCACATGGGAGTCACAACCCTCTCATTAACTGCATTATTTTCACCACAATAGTATATTCATTCCCAACTAGATGTGCATACTGAATTTCAAAACAAAAACAAATTTCTTTTTAAGCTACAAGCAAGTGAGACGCTACAGAAGTAATTCTCTGCTCAACTAAATTACACTGCTGGAAGATTGTTTGGTTTAAGAACTGGACCTACTGCTCCTTCCTTCTCTCTCAAGGTGATGTGTCAGAACTCCTCCCACCTTGCTATACGTATACACGGCACCCATTTGACACAGCAGGAGAAACAGTCATCTAGAGTTCAGAAACGTTCTTTATAGTGAAAAACAATGGCAATTACATCTGTCAAAATAAAAAAAAAAAAAAAAAAAAAAAAAGACCACCGCTTATGTAGTAAGCTCCGAAGTAGAAACATAATTTGCATTCCCATAACACATTTCATTGGAAGGTTTCTTAGAAACACAAGTCAACTTGCTACACCCTTAGTCTCAGTCTGAATACAAGGTCCCCCCGTGAAACACCATTCACAGGAAAGCAAGGATATTTTACTTGGCTTCCTCTTCACAGCTGTAGAGGGATCCTTGATCTTTAGCCGTCTAGTGTGTTTATACAGAATAATAACCATTCTTGCTCATGTCTTTTCCTGCCACAGCTAGAAAAGGAGCATTTTAAAGATTAGTTGCCTTATTGGATAGAAAATATTGATGATTACTGCCTCTGAACACCACCTTGTTGTATGCTCTTAATATTAAACTGCTATCAAAGTTTAGCTGCTAGCTAAAAATTGTCAATTCTCTTCCGAGACCTATTCTCAACTTCAGTATCAATAGGCTGCTAGTCGCATGACTTCCAGAAACACACACACACAAAAAAAAATCAGTTAAATGGCTCCAGAAAGCAACTACTCCACTAAGCATTTCAAGCAATAGAAACCTTATCAATAGGCTACACAATCCAGTCTTCTTCGCACACCTGGAAAAGCTGTTTTTGCAGGAAGAGACACAAATCCTTGCCTGTCCTCATTTTTAGAGGGTAAAAGGGGTATACATCCTTATGAACAACAGTTCATAGGTCCAAAAGAAAAAAAAAAAAAAAAAGCCCAAATCAAACAAGGAAAAGAGGTATAAATATCCCTCTAAATGAAAAAAAAAACCAAACCCAACACACATTACCACAAGCATTATTTCTATGATTATGTGTGAATACTCTGCAACAAGCATTTTTGATGCTACTGCAAGTGAAATTTAGCCCCATCTTCTTCACAGTTTTAGGGAACCCCCACTCGGGGATTCTCCTGGAATACATCTGTGCACATGTACATCCCTGATGCCTCCAAAGTCTTTCCAGGGCTCTTTCAAGTGCCAAGATCCCCTCCACCTCTATGAGAGAAGCTGCTTTTATTCTTTTAAAAACTTCTATGAACACACTCCACAATCCATACATCTCGTTAGACAGAGTATAAGCATTTGTCCCACTTGTGGCAGTATAAACACTTGCAAATAGTATTTTGGGCCCTGGCGCTTCATCAGCTTTAGCACCAGGAGCATGCAAAGTTTCTGATCTCTGGTTTTGCCCAGCTCCTCAAGACGACAGTTTCTGATAAAATTCCTAAAGACCTTCTACAAATATTCACAGAGTGGAAGAAGCCTGCTGAAAGACAGCTCAAAACTGCCTGTAATCCTTAGGAAAACGTTTAGATCCCCCAACCATTTACTTGTCACATTATGGAAGAAAGACCAAACAAATAAACACTTGGAGCCTGTAAGGAAAAGAATTAGGTGAGAGAATGTGGAAAATACAAAGGCAGCAACAAAATTCCGGTTACTGACCGACAGAAGCCGGTGAATCCCATGGAGGGCAGGCAGGCAGATGGAGCAGGACACCCAGTGCTTGAGGATTTTAGCTCCAATTCGGGGCGGCTGCTCACTCCACAGTTCTGCTCTTGGAGGGGAGCATCCCACCTGCCAGCCCGTGTCGCAGCTGCTCACCCACGGGCGGCAGGGAATTTGTTTTAATGCTACTCCCTCTCCGGTATTGCTTTGCGTGGGCCAGAGCTGTGTGGCAGGCAGGCAGGTAGGTTCAGCTTACCACATACACTTATTACACAGCAAAGGCGGGTGCAACCATCGTGCTGTTTACAGCATAGCGCGCTGAAGTAGTGACCTAAATTAAGAGATGAAGCTCTCCAAGCAGGAACTCTGATACTCAGCTTTAATCTTCTGTCATTGAACATGCTATCTTTTAGATACAACGTTTCTAGAGGAGGCTGACAGTGAGGGATGCCACGTGCAACGATGTAAGTATACCACTTAATCAGAAAAATTAGGGCAGAAAAGTATAAAATAAATAAGACTCCCATTTGGGAAGTGCTAGAGCAGGTGTTATACAGGTACATAAAACACCTCACCACTTCACATTCAATGCTGTATAACTTGGTATTCAGAACAACACTAAACTGCACAGGCTGTGTATCTGCGGTAACATTTGTTAGTCTTAAAAGATGAGCTCATAGATGGAATTAAAAGAAAATCATAAAAACCATGGTGTTACACACAAAGCAGACCTAATCTGACCCTAGCAGGGCTGTCCACTCTTCAGTGTGCCTGTTTATATCCAGTTGTTAATCCTTCGGATTTACCAATACAGACAACTACACAGGAAGGATCACGAGTTGCCATTTCTATCCACAATGCTCAGGATAATTACTAATACATTAAGCCAAGAGCACTCAAACCTGGTGTGTGGGGCCATTTCTGAGACTCAGTAGCATCTGCATCACCTCTATCCCACATAGCCTAGGAACTGGGAGGGGAAGAAGCAACCAAACTCTGCAAATTCTGTAAGAACATACCTCAGTCTTAAGCATCTAAAGCAACTAAAAGGCTAAAAAATTGATGTGACCTTCAAGGTTATGTCATCCCACTTCCCTTTAGCTCCAGGGACAACACTGAGATGATTCAGAAGTCCTCCGAGTAGTTGCATCCCTCCTCTCCCACCCAAGCAGCTGTATCATTTGTCACCTTCCAAGGGAGAGGCAAAGAGGGAGCCCTGCCTGCTCCACTGCCTGCCTATCTGCGAGGTCTCCTGGGGTCGCCTGCTCCCCGCCTGGCCACATCAGAGCCTAGGACAAGCACTGAACAGAGAGTATCCATCAAGGAGATGTCTGTCTCTCCCCAGAGAGTGCTGGAAAATGTAAAGAAGCTGGTGTGAACCAAAAGCCCGCTATGGCTTCTCAGCGCTGCTCGTAACCCCTGGTGGCTTCTGTGGCTTCTACCACCTCACACCAGGATCCCAAGAAATCATGCTTCCTCTGGAAATGGTTCACACACAACCCTTATTAACCACCCTGCTAGCTAGTTTATATGGCCATTTGATCACCGTGCAGCAGCAAAGAACAAAGGAAGCAAGAATATTCTCATAACACCTTCTTCAGAAGTTTGAATCCTGCAGGCTGCACCAACCTAGAGCATAAAGTGGTCTTCTGCTCCTCCCTGAAACTGAAGATGTTGAGATAATTGTATATAGGCATCCAGAAATTAAGATAGAAGGAAAAAAGAAGAAACAACATGTAAAAAAAATCAGTTTCAAGCTAGGCATAAATGAAAGACTTCACAAACAAAGGGGAAGACAAGTCTCAGTCAGAACTTGTACTTTTAAAGATAGCATCCAGACAAACATTGAAGTAACTGACAATTCCATATAGCCTTGGATGAGGGTTTTTTCCTCTCAAACTTTTAAGGACTTAATTTTAGGAATGCCCAGTATACAGGCTGAGCACTTTTAAGCAGGAGTCAGGTCCCTAACTAAGTTCTAAACTAAAGATTTCCCCCTCATCCCCCACACCCAAGCTGTACTCACTGTTTATAAGTACTGAAAAGCTTTGAAATGTAAAAGCATTCCAGTACTGTGGCATACTTGCAAGAAACCAGGGATGTGTTGTGCACCTACTGAAGCAGATCCCTTTAAAAATCACATCACAGATTTCAGCTGACTCTGCTACAGCTTAGAAAATAGAAGTTTGCAGTTATGGAGCCACCAAACGAGGCAGTTCGATCAGATGCACCAAGGGCATCAGAGGGATGACCAAGGACACGTAAGCTAAAGTAAGAGAGATTTTTTGCAAGGAATGACTGCTACATGTGACTTACAAACAACCGAACAGGAAAGTACAGCACTGAATATGAGGGAGGACTTTATATCTCAAAAAAGCCTGCCACCTAAGGCACAAATTTAAGAAAATCCAAATTGGTATGAATTATAATTTTGAGTCCTCTCAGCATGAAATGTATCATTTTGTTTCAACCCATATTATTTATGCATCACCTCCAACTACAGCCACTAAGGCTGGACTGTAACACACCCAGAACAGGAAGAGAACATAGCAAGAAAAGCAACCAAATAGAAGGACAGAAGAGGGCATCAATTAAAGCAAGTCACAGCCCACTTTCTAATCCTCCAACTCTCTCCTGCATGTCAGTCCCAAATAGCCTTATATTTGCCCCTGAATTTGTTATTAAGCTCATCAGTAGGATCATTTCATACAATTGCACTGATATTAAATTCGACATAACAGGTCTTAACATTTGCAAGTAAGTTTTCAACCGAAAGTAAAATATTTAAGAACGCCTAGCAGTACAGAAGTGCTAGGCTATGACCATACTACATTTTCGCTTCTGCTCTGTTGTATTAAAACACCCCCAAAACCAGCTTCCAAACCTGTTTGGAATACAAAACTGAGGAAACATGTGCTTTACAATTTACATCCATCCAATGAGATTTTGTTTCGTATCAAAGACCCCATATCAATCTTCTCCTGAGATCAGAGGACCTCAATTATTGATTAAAAGGGAGGAGAAATAGAAATGCAAT